CCCCAAAACCCCAAAACCCCAAAACCCCAAAACCCCAAAACCCCGCAATTTAGATTTTATTTTGAAACTCCAAAATAAAAGCTTATCTAGAAGAGTCCAAAGAACAATGAATCATTTGATTCAGCTGAGGCCTCATCAGAAGCGATTTTATCCATCTCCTCAGCAATAGCAGCAATTTCGGCATCACTGAAATCTGGAGATTCATCATTCTGATTAGTATCTTCACCAGCTTGTGCTATGTCTTCTGAATTAGTGTCATCATCAGTTGCTGGCTCTTCAGTAGTAACCTGCTCTGAACTATCTTCATCTCCGCTAATAAGTTTTGGGATAACATTGGCAATCCTTGATAAAATTGATTCTTCCTCGTTACTTAATCCGTCAGTTTCCTCGTCATTGCTTACTTCCTCTTCAGCAGAGACAGTTTCTTCAGTAGAGGCTTCTTCAGTTGCAGCCTCTCCAGTAGGAGCTTCTTGAGCAGGGGCCTCTTCAGGTGAAGCTTCTTCTACCGATGGAGCAGCTTCTTCGGTTGTGGTATTTTCAGTTGTGGGTTCTTCTGTTGCAGTTTCTTCAGCAGGAGCTTCTTGAGCAGGGGCCTCTTCAGCTGTGACCTCTTCTGCTGTAGTCTCTTCAACTGGAGCCTCTTCAGTTGTTGTCTCCTCAGTAGCTGAAGGTGGTGGGCCGAAAGCACACTTCTCGAAGCTAGCAGCAGCTGCTTCAGGAGAGAACTCACGGGCCGGCTCAGGAACGAATTTAGGACGGACACTAGGAACAAGCTGAGATGGGACTTTTGGTGGTACAATAGTTGGGCTCTGAGTAGGAATTTGAGGTCCTCTTGCTGGTCTCTTTGATGGAGGTTGTGGAACAGCTGGAGGATTTGATTTTCTTGGAGATATAGTTACCTTTGGTGGTAACTGAGGCCCCTGAGTATTACTAACACCACCAAGAGGAGAGTTAGATCCAGGAAGAACTGGGTTCAATAAATCTTGCCATTCTTTTACAGTGGTTGGTGCAGGAATTTCTAGTGCATTCACGAAAACAGTAGGTGTTTCACTGATTCCATCATGAGCTCCTTGCTTCCACTGAATGACAGTTTCCTTAATGTACTCTTTATTTCTGAAGGAGATCATACATTGGCTATACAATATTAGACACGAAGAGATAGTACCTATAATCAAAGTCTAGGTCACTAAGATCAGTTGAAGTCTCATTGCATATCTTTTGTTGAACTCCAAATTCGCTGAGGTTCTCAGATCCTTGGCCGAAATTTCTCTGGTTTTTAAGGATATAATCTGCATAAGTGAGAACGTCTTCAGTTCTTCCTCTTAAGTCGTACACGAAGGGAATCAATTGAGACACGAAGAACGAATTGTGGTGGTATGGGAGTGGGAAGAAGTGGAACACTGCATATACATACTTGGTAATAAGATCTCCTGAATCTGTGGTTGTTCCAAGATACTCAACGAAGGACTTATGGAAAGGAGATCAATCACTTCACAACAAGTCTTCATAAACATCAACTCTAATAAACTGGTCGGGGCTTGGAATGTACCCATATCCATCTGAATAAGTGTCTTGAGCTAAAGCAAAGACAGATATAAGAAGGATTAGGAATATTTTTATCTTCATTTGATCTAGAAATAAATTTTAATATAAAAACCAAAGTGATTACACGGGGTTTTGGGGTTTTGGGGTTTTGGGGTTTTGGGG